CGTATTTAAGACGCTGCATACCGAGAAAGACAATATTCGAAAAATGCTATTGAACTTCCAACGTCATGATTTCCAAGAACAATTACCGTCGCAAAGCTGAACATTCAAAGAACAAGGCAGAAAGATCCCACTTTTCTTTTAGAGAAGTTTACAATCAAGGAAGATCTGTAATAAATCATTAAACTCGAAGAGGACAGTGAAGGTTTGTAAAATAATGTCGAATCAGTATACAATGTCACTGAAGATGAGAGAACATGTTAATTCCTGACCTCAAATCGAAACAGTTTTAATAATAATGATGATAATAGGAGTGATAAAAAAAAATCTTTTTCCAGATTTTATATTTTCTTTGGAAATGTCTTGGTATGTTTTTGTTGTAAATTTACGTTTGTTGTCACCCTCCTTTTCCAACGTTTGAATACTATTGTTAATTCCTGAAATGTGTTGCTTGACAATATTTCTAAATGTAGTGCCTTCATTGGCTGAGATCGATAAAGAAACATGGTTTCATTTTTAGCAATAAAAGCTCCAACTGTGTTCAGTGGGTTTGTTAGTGTGTCACCCGCTGTACAGTCTTCGATGAGAAATCTGGAAAAACATAAATCATAACTCAGTCACAATAAAGAAAAGGCAAAAAGGACAGAATTTTTTTTAATGGCATTATCCTACAAATATAAGCATGTACAAAAAGATGGTTTTGATCTTTTAAAAGCATTTCTAAGAAAGGTAATCCACTCTTTACCGCTTTTCTACTTTTTTAACTGAATTCAGTTGGAGCCGAAAAACTAGTAAACTGCACATTGTGCCTACGCAAATATTTAAGTAGACATTACGAAAAGAAGAAAAACCAGATAGAGTAAATGCGGCGTTTGAATTCAGTTAAAAAAAAAATAAACGGAAACCATGCAAAACAGGTGTTAAATTGTCATTGTTATGAGTTACTTTCACTTTGTCTAGTGGTTTTGTCAAATGTCACGTAAAAGTAAAAACGTTGAACAAAATCATTGGACTCGCTTGGAGACCGTGTACTGAAAAAGAAGTTTTAAATTATAAGTAGCAGATATTAACGTGATACAAAACTTTATATAATGAACTGAGGATTTTTTTTTCAAAATTCATGATACATGGCGATATATACCGATACTGTAATCAATAACTTTGCTTGATTTCTTGTCTTCTAATGTAAAATTCTGAAACCATAAGGTTATATCATAGAAACACCAATACGACGTTACTTCATTATCTGATCTTCTCTTGAAAAATCTCGCCAGTGAAGCACTAGAAACGACGTTAAGAAAGATGGACAATTTCTGCATAATCTTCGACCAACAATTTCTTGCCTGGAACGAAAACGAGAAATTCCATTAAAAATTTAACAAATCTTTCTCTGACGTATCCAATAAGACAAGTCGCAGCTTGTGTGTGTGTATGTATATATATATATATATATATATATATATATATATATATATATATATATATATATATAGCACAGTGGAGTAATGGTTGGTGGCTTGGATTGGGGAATCGGAAAGCTGAGTTCGAATTCAGTCGAATCCATTACATTCACTTACGCGTTAATACCCTTGGGAAAGGTATGAATCCTCCTCTTCTCCCTCCACCTACAGTTAAATTGCAGGACAGATTGGGTTCTAAAGCCTTGGATGGCAACTGGTCTAGGAGAACGACAACTCTGAATTTAAAACCTGCGGAGGGTCATTTGGGAACCTTGTGGCACATTGTGCACCAGGTCTCTGTATTCGGCCCTTCAAAATGTGTTGATGGTTCTGCACAAAACCTTTACCACCATAATCAAATCATATGTGCTGGCGTCGGTTCTTTTGAACTGATCTGCTTGACCCTCATACGTCGAATTCGATGGGAGAGTCGATTATATATATATATATATATATATATAGTGTGTGTGTGTGTGTGTTCGATGGTGTTTTTATCTAATTTTCCTTTGATTTGAACCATTTTTCTGGTTTTCCGAGCAGAATATATAAACTTTCTAATGTCTTCTGAGCGCTTTCGGCTTTCATAAGTCATTATTCAAGAATTCTTTTTTCATGGTTTAATAGGGTTTTCTGTTGTCTCCATTTTGTTGTGCATTTTGTGTGCCACGTCTTTAAGCGTCAGTGGGTGTTAATGTCATCTTTCTGAAGTGTTGCGTCTTCATGCATCAGTTTGTGATGTCTTTTTGTTTATGAATATTGAATATATTAAGTATGTTTGTTTTTTATTGATTGTTTTTTTTTTAAATTGAACGAGATTTTTTAATGCTAGATTTTTTTCTTTTATAGTTAAGGCTTCTAGCATTTGCATTCGTTTTTTAATATATTATTTTTGCATTATTGATTTGTATTTGTTGGATTTCTTGTATTATTTTCTTTTGGCTGCTGATATCTGATAATTTATCGGATATTAACTCAATTAAATCTCGTATATTACTAAACAGCACAATAACAAAACTGTTTCACGCCTCCAGTTATTGTAATTTTTTTCTAATAAAAACAAATATAAATTGAATTTCCCAAAGTATATTTGAGTAAATATACGGATACCAAAATGATTTTACCAACACTGATTGGTTAACACAAATTTTCTTCTGAAAACATAAACTTCAATAAAATTAGGGAATGTATATACATAAAAATGTACCAAGCCACACATACACACACATGGGATCGCTTCTTGACATGAGTGACAGTCTATAAATTTGATTAGTTTTTTTTACGGCTTATTAACCTTTTGTAGATTATTTAAAGCCGAAGCATATTTTTGGAGCGTAAGAATAATTTTTTCTATTTGAGAGTGAGTATTAATATTTTTTGCGGGTGGGGGGAGGTAATTTTCAGATACAGGTGTATTTAACCCATAGAGGGAAGAAGTGGTGGATTCATACGATTGCCAAGTGCGTTTGTGAGTCAGTCCGAGGCGTTATCCATTTCACCACAAGCACGTGCAGGCATCTGGTATTCCCAAGCAATCCTCCATTTATTAACTGACCAGACTCGACGTTGCTTAACATCGGTGATCCTATGAGAACTGGTGTTTCAACGTGATATACCCGTAAACAGTCTATAATTTTATATACGAATATGCGGCTAGGTGTACACATATCAAGATTTCTCTCACTTATTCTCTCATATATATATATATATATATATATATATATATATATATTAAAAAAAGAAAAACAGACCACTTTAAGGTACCATTATAATAATTTATTTCACCAGAACCCTTTTAAAGGACGCCGGATCATCAGATAGCACTTCCAAAAATGAACCGAAAAATGAAATTAAAATTGATGGGCAGTGTAAGTTTTTGTAATTTAACAGAGTGTAAAAGGGGTAGTTAAAGAGACATGGTAGAGTTTAGGGAGGGTTTATTTTCATATACATATATATGCACACATTATGCATCGGCGTATTGTTAAAATGGATGAATATATCTTAAGTCATTATCATAAAACGGAAATACCCTCCGGTACACACACACACACACATATATATAGAGAGAGAGAGACAGACAGACAGACGTTACAGTAAAATATTCTCTACGTCTCTTCTTTGTGCTGTCATATCTTTTGTTTATTTTTTTTATTTCTCATGGGTCACATATATAGCCAACTATATACACTTAGTCAATTACAGTTTTTATAACAAAACAACCTAGAAAAATCAGTATTTTTAAATCATTTCTCTTCAAGTATCCATCTTTCTCAACACCGTTTGTATTCCTCCAATGCTGTGATCTTTATAGCTTATGACACTACGTCTGATTGGAAATTTTAAGATAAATCACCCTGTGTTTGGTGAAGTTAGTGAATTCAAGAATACAATTGCAGTTCTGGGCAAATTGATCTCAGAATGTTTCACTTTCAAAACATTACGCTTGGCTCTTTATATCCGGTTTTCCGCAACTCGGGAAGAGAGTATCAGAAACCTGGTCAAATGATTGCGAATGTTCATTTTATTTCCTATTATCTCGCTCTAGAATAGGTATCTATATAAATGATTATAGTATGTGGAGTTTTAAAATGAATACGTCCAAAAACGTATGCAAAATATGATATCCTACCTTTTGAGTAGAGCAGGAATGTACAATCAAGATATAGATCCCCAGTGCCAAGGCAAAGATAAAATATTTGGCGAGATCAAGTGAGTTTTCCTCATGAATCATCTGGTGAATACTAGATTCATTGATCAGTGCCCTGCTGCTGTTCTTGTTTCAAGATAAAGCATACGGTAGAATCTATGGAATTGTCTTCGCGTCATGGCCGCTTAACAATGGGAAGCCAAGTTTTAAAAGAAAAGATGGACTTTGAGCAGAAAAAAAAAGACAGAGCTACATCCACTCTGAGCTGAGCTTTTGATTCTATACGCTGTTTTCCTGTTCTATATATTTGTAGTGTTTTTAAATTAACCCTTGTCTCTGTTGACACAAACGCTCAATTTGCAATACAGTCGAGTACTGGTCTGCTTGTCCAACTAAATCTTACATAAACGAGACATTTTTTTTCTATACATCGTGTTTACCTCGTTTTTCTACCGGGAGCTACGAGACCAGTTACGTATGTATTTTTGTCCACAACCTTTTTATCGGTTATACGTTTAAACCGAGAAAATGCATTCTGACGTTATTTGGTCTAGCGAAGTCAACAAAATGAAACCGTAATATTATTTAATGATTAAAAGTTATTATTCAACAATTCACAAGAAAGAATATTTCTAACCCTGAATTATCATTTCGCTTTTCTGATATTCTAAGTACGAAAGCTGCAACAAAAAAATAAAATTGAAAACAATAGACGACTGATAACAAGTGTGAAGTTATCCTGAAGAAATTGGTTAATTTCAGGTAGACCACCTTAAAAAAAAATTACATAGCGGAATAAGAATAGATAGGTTCCTTATCGTCCCCGGTCTTTTGAACAGGAGAAGAAGTTTATCCCTTTTTTTCCTGTTTCACCGTGTTCTTTCTCTGACTTCGGCTTACGACCATATCACGTTGGAACACCTTTTCTCGTATGATCACCGAAGTTAAACAACGTCAAGCCTGGTCAGTAGTGAGTTGGGTGATCGCTTGGGAATACCAGATACTGGAAGCCTGGAAGCACGGGTAATGTAATGGATGACAACTCGAAATTATTATTTGTGTAGCCGAGTTCCAATTCCAGTCGGGTTTGTTATATTCACTTATGCACAAATCTCCTTGGGGAAGGTATGAATCCAACTTTTCTCTCAACTATGGGTTAATTAGTAAGACATATATCATTAAATCATTATCTCCCAAAAGACTTCTTATAATCTAAAAAAATATTTTTCTAGCATTAAATAACTTGCAAAAGTTTGAAAAGCTGTAGAAAATAAATCATTCTCTTACTTTCAGTAGTTCCTTGCATTTTAGTGGCATTGTCGCCTTGCTTGGGGCGAATTGGTTAAAAAATAGCCGTCTATTGTATAAGATGAGAACAGGATTTCCCACTAAATTAATATCCTTGTATCGCTTTCTCTCGTTGCTGGATTAAGTTAAATAAATCCTGACTTTCCGTTGCATTAAAAGACATGATCATGAAGTAATGGATTTTTAAAAAAATTTTTATTTATCCGACAGATTTTTTGCACTTTAAACATTCAAATATGGGAATCCACTAACAAAAAATAATTACTATATCCACCCTCTCGCAGAATTGGAACCTGAGTCCCCCTTTGCATGAGAAACCATCATTTTATCCGACGTGCTTTAGACCGACTCGGCCACGAAGGGCGTCGCCAATCAAGCAAGATTGAATAGTGCCTTTAAGCGCAATCATTTCTTTAAAAAAGATTTCTCGAATATTCAACTCGATAGACAAAAATTAAATATGTTGTTTAAAATAAACGAAGTATCTACTCAAATATGGGTATCCATTAAAAGAAATTATCGTTTAAAGAAATAAAGACGGCCATAAGTACGATCTAATGTCTGGAAAATGCAATGCTACTGGATTCTCTTTGTTTTAATCAAATGAATACTGTCTCAGCCCTTTTTGTTTTAATGCCGGATTACATACGATAAGTAACGTCTACTTCTTAGAGAAATTTATGTTAATTCTAAGAAGAGATCGAGTGGGGTTACCAAAATATACACTCTAAATAAGTTTTAGTTAATACGACGTTGAAATAAAATATAACACTTTAATTTTGCGTTGTTACAATACAAAGATTGTATTATCAAACTTCAAATATAATTTCCCATAAAAATGAACAGTATTGTCGCAAATTTTTTTTTTTTTTTTTTTTTTTGGTGGGAGGGTGGCCCTGATCCCGAATTTGTATATAATTTTCTCTTTCCCGAAATGTCATTTACCGATTCGCAAGATACAAGCGCTCACGTTTTCACTTTATTTCGATATGTAAGAAGGGGACGTTGAAAATTCTCAGACAATAAGCCCTTCCCTCCCCATAAAAATATCTGATGTTTTTGATTTGATCAGATTAGGTGAACTGAGCCGGGCCGAGTTTCCATTACGCCCATATATATTACTGACTGAACTCTCTCTCTCTCTCTCTCACATTATATATGTGAGAGAACGAAAGAGTTTCGCTGTAATGGCTTCTTGCGGCTTAACAGTAAAGAACGCTTGACTTGAAAGTAGTCAAAATAAAAATTAGGGATGTCTTCTCAAAGATGTTTATTGTAATGGGAAATAATTTCAGACTTTTTAAAAATCCTTAATCGTTTATTATATAATGGAAATTTGATAAAAGTTATAGAACAGTTTACTCCTGTAGATTAAATAAATGATTCTGTTCAGAATACCCTCTAAGTTACCTAGATCAGTATAGACCCGATGAAGGACTGACGGCACAACAAAGATGAGGATAATAGCCCGAATTTAAATAGTGTAAATAATAACTCCTCACCCAAGAAATTCAGACAGAAATAAAATAAATTTGCTAAATTTATTTGACCCAAATTAAATGATTCTGTATTTTGTAAAAATGTATCGACATTACATTAAGTGTTGTATTTTTGTTTTGTTTTTTTTAATTCCATCTCGTTCTTAGCATGGATTCCTATCTTAGCTCAATTTCTTCTTTGAATCTTACGTTTCTACGATTTACCTGTGCCTCCGACTTGACATACGCATAGGTACCCACTGAAGATGTATTTCTTTTATTCACAAAACGCAATAACATAAACCAAGTCTTAGTAATCTCATTGATTCATAAAGCAGAATTCCCGATTGAATTAACCTATTTCAAAACTCATGCCACAAGTGTCCTTATAGCTCATTATTTACCGCCACCTGTGTCAGACGAGTTTTCGTGATTTGTTTTTAGTAACCCAGTCTCGGGATCTTCAGTCATGACACCTTCGTGGCACTAGATGATAAACAGACACGAATAAACCCAGCAGCCTGTAAATCCATACCTACCCCGTTCATAATAAGTTATGAAATTATATAAATATAATTAAAAGTGGAGATATATATATATATATATATATATATATATATATATATATATATATATGTAACGGAATAAAATCTGTATTCAAAGTACTGTCGCCTGCGGTTCCGACCTAAGACTCGTCATCTTTTATCAGAGTTTCTGCGTAATATCAAATTACATTTATGGACAATTCCCTTCTGCATATGAGCTTTGCGAATGGAGAAATCAAAATGTCATACAAACTGACCACACCCATATTGAACATTCAGACATTCATGTTAAATGCGGTTAAGCCTTGTGTAAGAAACGACTTCTGGGAATAACTGCGTGCATTATTTTCATATTGCAAGCTAAGATAGGATACATAAATAATTAAGAAAGTCGTTTATTTTTTTTCAAATAAACGCTTTTCTCAATTATTTATATATCCTATAAATTTGTATATATATAAATAATTGCGAAAGGCGTTTATTTGAAAAATTTTCTCAATTATTTATATACCCTATCGTTATAAAAGTGAAATAGTTATCAGAAAAAAAAGGTTCTTTGTCAAACTAATACATCTTTTTGAAGAGTGAGTTTCCCACTTTTATTTCTCTTGAGAGGACAAGCAAAATTCAGATTTAATCTACTCTATTTGTACTGATCAAAAAATAAACGCACTTCAACCAACGTTAAGTTGACAAGATAAGAAATCGCTCAATGATGGATTATGTAGAAAAGACATCAATATATATTTTTAAAGTCTTTGTTTCTTGCACTGTTTTTAACATCATTAAATTTCCTAAAAAAAAAAACCATGAAAGCCGCTGTATGGTAGCTTCAATATCTACATCATGGAACAATTTGATTTTTACTTTTTACACTATTGTCACCATCTTTATTGTCATATTCGCTACGTTTCGGCCACTGTACGCTCCGGCCTTCTTCAGGTGATATACGTTGGAATTTCGAACCGTTTATTTAGCCCACGGAGGTAAATTGTTCTAATTCTACGTTCCATGCTTTTTTCTGGATACCTCATTTTCAGTTTTCCCTTTAGTATCTCAACTCTCTAAGATTTTGTTTACCTCTGCTGTGGCCACGTATTGGTCTCAAAAGTCTTTGGGTCAAGTCACTGGATTACTTCAACCACCGTTGTGTGTCCAGTGGATATCCTATATCACCTAATGAAGGCTGGAGTGTACAACAACCGAAACGTCGTGAATATGACAATAAAGATGAGGACAACTCTCCGAACAATGTAAATAATGGAAATAATTACAATACCTCCTCTAAAAAAATATAGGCATATGTGGATTTTTTTACTGCTTTGAAATTATCCCCCGCCACCCAAAAAAAGCTGGCCAAAAAGAAAGGCGCCATTTTTCTTTGATTTCTGTAAATCGTTGTCTACTTCCGTTGACTACTGAGATTTTGCTGGCTGAACTCAGTTGACTTCTTTTTGGATGTTATTGCTGCGAGATGGAGAAAAAAGAGGTAAAAGAACCTTAAAATCTTCAATATTTACAAAACCTAGCTTGGTACGGAACAATATCAAACATCTCAAATTGCCCAGATGACAAATTGGTGTAAAATCTTCCAAATAAAGGCCTGCTTGTTCGAGAGAAAAAAATAATTAAAAATCTTATTTTTAACTTGCGCTCAAACAATTATGTTTCGAACAGCAAATACGTCAGCCGCGAAACAGACCTTTAATTAAATGAAACACTCATTTATAAAGGCAAATTTTAAAACCTATACGAAAAAAATATCAATAAAAGAAATGAAAGCTGAAAATTAATATAGCACGATGCCGTTATATTAAATGCCAATAATTTTTTTTTTTTAGTGATTATACTCAAAATGACAGTGATTGTAAACAGAGGAAAAGAAATTTATAAACTGGTATATAATCAGATAAATTTATCAGTCTATATTTCTGAGATCAGATGTTATGTACACTATTTACATTATTCGGACTATTGTCCTCATCTTTGTCGCCATATATATTACAACGCTTCGGCCTTCTTCAGGTGGTTGGAATGTCGAACTGAACCCTTTAGACTGTTCTAGTTTACTGGATGTCAGTTATCTCCTGTTAATTCCCCTAACCAAGTTCCCCGCTGCCTTAATCGGTTATTGAACTCCCACTCTTTGGGTCCTGTCACTGGATCTAACCAATGCTTTGATCCACTGTGCCATGTGTCCTTGAGGACATCTGTGTATGAATTTCTGGGTTTGTTTTTACCAGTGCTCATATTACAATTTCTGCTGTTACCAATACATATTTTTACCAGAGCTCATGTTGCAATTTTTGTTGTTATTATCGCTTTTTCTCTAGCACTCCTTATTACTGGTTCCCATATTGTATTCGTTTCTATGTTTGGTCGGCTCAGGAGATTTTTGTGGCCTAGAATAATGTAAATAGTGTAGATAAATTTATGTTCAAATATGACAGTACTTTTCTTGGTTTTCTCTGACATTGTGACAATTTTCAGCGGACCAGAGGATGAAAAGATTTGTCGAAGTCAAAGACTGAAACAAAGGAATGAGCAACCAGTAACGTATATATATATATATATAAGGTTTATAAACGAGGTCTACCCGGAATGTATCGAACTATTTTGAATATTTCAAGATCTGCTTGCTTGACCTTGATATAATTAGATGCGTGTGTTCAAAAGGA